CTCAAAGACAGTCCTGTGTGTTTGCCATGTGAATTGCTTGCATAATGAAGAAATAAAAGAACATGCCTTAAATTGGAAATTAGTGTGCTCTCTCCTGTGTTTTACTTCTCTAGTCATTTGCTGTCATTGAATTCCATCTTTTGTAAGTTAGTGGTGATAACCATTATAACAAGAGGCCACTGAGAGCCTTAGTGCCTTCCCCAGCTTCCTCTTGGATTGAGATATTCTCCCTTTCTTGGGTTCATTAACCAATGAAAGTTCCATTAATTTTGATTTAGAAAATATTTAGTGTCCCTCTGTGTAAGACAAGGTAAATCACTTTCATTATTAAACTATTAACTATTTACTAAACTCCTCCTAGGTATATCTATTCATGGAAATACTATTCTATTTCTGATTTAACATATGTTTTCATGTAGTGGAATGTTATCATCATATTTTCATGTAAACACACATATCTTGAACCGATTTTTAGGTGAGCAGTTCAATAACATAAAAGTTGTGCCATGAAAACATCTTAAAAATTAAATGGATTATTTCATGTGATTTTTTTTTTTTTTTGGTCTGTCCTAGGGCTTGAATTCTGGGCTTGGATGCTGTCTCTCAGCTCTTCAGCTCAAGGCAAGTGCTCTACTGCTTGAACCCAGCACTACTTTCGGTTTTCTAATGGTTTATTGGAAATAAGAGTCTCACGGACTTTTCTGCCCTGGCTGCTTTGAATGGTGATTCCCAGATCTCAACATCCTGAGTAGTTGGGATTACAGATGTGAGCCAACAGTTCCTGGCTCATGTGAATATTTGAAGTCTTTCTGTGCAGAGACTAAAGCAGTTACAATTCCCTCCATATAGTAGGGAGTGTAACATTAACAATTAAACAATGGGAACAGAACTGGAAATGAAAAGGATATTTCTCTGCCGAAAGGATATTTCTGAACTACAGCATCAACTCCATCTCCTGTTCATAGCCTCTGCTGAATGCATTTGCCTAGGTGACCAACATCCTGTGTCTGTACTCCATGTGACCATATTAAGTGAATTAAAGAGAACAAGTCTTCAGGGTTAGCTTTAGCAGTAAGTTTATCCTGTTGTCATAGTAGAATTGAAACTAAAATACAAAGAAGATATATATTGGTAATGAGAAAGAAACAAACTTCTGTAATTTACATGGCATTCTTTAGAGAAAAGCACTGTGAGAAAGATTCAATGATTTTATCTACTATGGTATCCTTCAAATTGCCTCAAATTCAGAATACTATTCTTTGGTTGGAACCTTCATGATTTGTAATGAGTCAATAGTTTATAACCTGTTTGATTTCTGTATATTTAACTTGCCTTTGAGTTTCTTTTTTTTTATTCAATTTTTGCATTGCTTTGTCTGATTTTGTGGGAATTGCCTTTCCTAGAGCAATAAAGAAGAAATCTACCTAGTCTTGAACACACAGTATTTGTTCAAACCATTTCCTGACTCTACTGTGACAGTTATTTCTCCCAATCATTTTCATATCAATTTCAGATAACAGCCTGTGAACTCTTAACAATGAGAGGGGCTGATATTCTATATTTTATTCTCATGTTCAGCTTAGACCTTGGAATACTGCTAAGCTTAATAAATGATTATAAGTATAATAGATAAGTAATTCATATGAAAGTCATCAGTAATGTAGCAGCTAGAGGGAAATATTGTTGGCTGAAGATTAAAAAATATTTTTATATTAATTTGCATGATAATTGTTCTGATTAGTTTCACTTAGCATGCATTTGGAAATTCTAATTGTTAAGTATAATAATCAGGCATATATTTTAGAAATTATAAATTACCTAATAAACATTATGATTTAATGAGTTCAAATTATTGGAGATTAGTTACACAACAGCAGCAACATTTCAATTTCTCTCCACAAATATAAGTAACAGATGACTTGAGACTTTCATTCTTTGGAGATTTAGTGATTAAGTTGAAAAAGCACAGAGGTACAGATTTTACTTATCTCTTAGGAAAACAAATGTCCTTGTAATACCTTAATTTGATAACAAGAGTACACTCACTTTATAACTATCTGATTAAAAGAAGATTAAGAAAGCTAATGATAATTGCCTAGTATAAGTATTTTATGCTATTTAAAACAGGATATTTTAATGGCAATGTATTGGAGCAAGGACTGAAATGATATGGTGCAAATAGACAAGTATGACATACCTTTCCATAAACAGCATTTGAAACACTAGCAAATTGAGTGATAAAGGTTTTAATGTCCTATACAATATGATAATTTAAATTCCCTATATACCATAAAACAAAGATAAATTTCATATTGAAGAAAAGAAAAATTAAGGTTAGTTTTTTCCTAGAAGTTTATTCCATTAACATTAGATAATAGAGTATATATTATTTGTAGTATGAAATCATTTGAATGAGATGAGCATAATTTTCATAATTACATTGAATATATTGTCATATAATTTTCTGTAGTAATCTGATTTTGAAAACATTCATGGTGAAATAATACCTCACAAAATTCAAATATACTTAAAATGATCAAAATTTCTGAGCACAGTTTTTTTTTTGTGCTCAAAATAATCACTTCTCTTTTCCTACTCTAATTTTTAAACCACACATTGCTTTTTACAAACTTAAATGAGGATACTTTTTAAGAAGCCCTTCAGTTGGAATCGTGGTTATATTATTGATTTTTAAAGTGACTTGAAGCATTCGGGTTATTTGGACATACTGGGAAAGTTTCCAGGCATTGGCAAAACCCCAAACTGAACTTTCCTCCTGAAAGTCAAAAATGAATTTCATTAACCTTTTAATAAAAGAGGTATATTTCTTATTTGTTCAACACTAAGGCCATGTATTCCCAAAACAACCAAACAAGCAAATCTACCCAATCACCCTTATTCATATCAGTATTTGCATTAGAACAAGTGAAATGCCAGGATTGACTCTGTAGTCAATTAATGGATCTCTTTTTTCATCCAGAGATAACCTGTAAATTTGTATATGTGTACAAAACTTTCTAAAAATCAGAGCTTATAATAATATCAACGAGGATCACAATGTATCAATGTATATATTGCCCGGCTGTCCAGGGCATTTTAATTATGAGAATTACAATCTTCTCATAAATAATGCTCAGTTGTAAGAGAAATGAACACCAAGATAGGAATACCAATGGCTTTTTCTTTCTTCCTATTGTTTTTAATGTATTTATAATGTATTATGTGATTTTTTGTTTCTTTTTTAATTATGAAAATACCATACAGAGGGGTTACAATTACATGAGCAAAATAATGAGTACACTTCTTATCAAGCATTGTTGCCTCCTCCTACTTTGTTTACTCTTCCCATCGCTTCTCCCATCTTCCCCTTCCCTGCTCCTCCCATGCCAAAGTTGTAAAGTTTGTTTTTGGACATATTGTCGCGTACATCTCATTGTTGCAATGGGTTCACCTGTATCCTTATTTAAACAATTTGTTTTTTCCCTTCACCTCTCCAAATTATACCAATATCAAATACAATGAAAACAGGGGTTATACCATGGGGGAGGGACATACAAAGCAACAAAGAAATATCTTACAAATATGTTAAAAACAATAGTTTTGAGTCCTTATCTTGGGGTTCATTTCGCCTAACATCAACTTATCTGACCGTTTCTGCTTGACTGAGACGTACACAAGTTATTGCAAATAAGGGAAACCATGGGACCTATGTTTCTTTGCACCTGGCTTACTTCACTTAATATAATTTTTTTCCAAGTCTTTCCATTTCCTAACAAATGGGGCTCCCCCACTTAATAACCCTTGTTCTCACTGTATTTGATTTTGGTACCCTGCATCTTGTATATACATTTTTTTTTTCTAATTTTGGGAGGGTAAGAGAAAAAACAAAATGTTTAAATTGGGATACACGTTGACCCATTGTAACAATGAGATGTACGAACTTTACAACTTGGGGAGGGGGAGTAGTTGGGGAGGTGGGGAAAAACAAAGGAGATAGCAACAATGCTCAATAGGATATGTACTCATGAGCTCACTCATGTAACTATAACCCCTCTGTACAGTATTATTACTATAAAAATGTATATAAAAATAATGGTCAGTTATTATGATTTCATAGTGTATATGTTATATAGGTTTTAGAAAACAGAAAACACCAGAATATCTAAGATAGAATTAAATGTTTATGCATCTCTAGGCAGAATTTCATCATCAGAATGCTACTATGGTTTTTTTGTGGAAAATTTACAAGCCATTAATGATCTCCTGACGTATGTTCTCAAAAGAAAAACTGAATTAAATGGATCATCAAACTGCTTCTGTACGTGAACATTAAGTTTTTGTAAAAATAGCACATTTTAATACTTATGAAATTTCTACTAAATTGAAAGGGGAAGGCAAAAATTAGATTCTTGTATGTATTTGTCAAAAGATATTCCTCTCTCTGAGTTTGCTGGCTTGATATGTAAATAAAGGAATGAGGGCAATATTGGGGGTGGAAAAATAAAGGAAAAGAAGATAGGAAAAGGAACTAAATCTAAAGAAATCTTAACATAGTATTTATCTCTCATATCATGGAGATATAACTAAAGCAAAAATTATGGTATTTTTCTCAAACTTAAGAGAAAAACTGGTCAACTGAAAAAAATTACAGTATATATTTTAAATACTCATTTGTGAATGTCAAAGAACACCCAACTTTTAAATCTTTTTGTAGACAAAAAGGTTATGTTTTTTTAAGTTCAACAAAGATATGCAATATTTTTCTGATTTATAAGACTGTTATGTCAATAACTATACTTAATTTCTTATTAGAACTTGCACATTAGCAGGTAGTATGGGGTTTTGGTACATATATTTCAATATATCTACTTAGAAACTGCCCTTTGAACTTCAAATTCTTGCAATCACATCAGTAATGTCATTCACATAAAAAAGGACTGCATTACCTATTCCAGGACTATGTAAAAATCCATTTTTATTGATGCCTTATGTATCCACACAGTATCTTTTCCAAGTAAAGAGTCAGATTTCATTGTCTCTGCTAACAGTACCGGTCAAATAACAGAAAAGATGGCTCGTAGATATTGTACTTCCAAGCTGTTGTGGTGACACTATGAACTTCTGATGTTCTCCAGGTAGCTGATGTGCACCTCACTCCAAATTCGTCAGATACCTTGGCACCTGGTTTGACCTTACTGTCTACAATGAATTGCTGAGCTATGAAGTGCTCTGATTTTTAGATGTTCTGCCAAATTTCACCTTTAAAATGACAAGGTCAGTATCAAAAAAAGAAAGACACCTATGTTTCAGCTCTGTGGTGCCGATTATCAGCATAACATGTACAGTTCATCATGACAACAACTTATCCTTGAGGACTGTGGCAAGTTCAGCTAGAAATGTCTAAGTCTGCTTCAAACCCATTTAGAAGTGCTTAGATAGCTTACCAATCACATTTGCCTCATGAGACATATTTTACAACTCATTCTGAAGTGATGGTCACTTAATTTTTAAACAATGAGTGTCAAGAAAACATTAATAGTAACTCAGATTGCCCTGCCAAAATAAATTTTGAATTTTTGAATTAATGAACTTCATTGGCTGTGTCCAAATAAAACATAAAATATTTTTGTTTCAACTCCGATCAAATAAATTTCATAATATCAGTCATATGTGAAGATGGTGAAAATAACAATTATTTTTGGATATTGTATACCAGTCATTTAAAACACTGACTTCCTTTTTTATTATTTAGTCCAATGAGAATTTCAAGGAAGTATTTTATATGTCTGGGAATTGAAGCAGGCAAAAAGAGTAACATTTTTATCTCCTTTTCTTGTTTATGTTTTATATTTCCTAATCCCTTGAAAATAGTCCCCTTCTGTTATATGGCTCAGGTATTACAATTTTGTCATATTCATAGTCACATTAAAATATCCTCAGTTTTACCTGAAATATTACAGTTTACTACAGACTTCTTAATTCAATGTAGTGTGAAAAGTAGGTAAAGCTACATAGTCATTCCTTTATCATCAATACATGTAGTGGAATGTCACAAGTTCTAATACACACTATATATAGAGTATTTGGATACTCTATACATACTATGTATAAAGTTGCATAGTATGTATAGAGTTATTTGGAATAAAAGTATTATATAAGATAATTCTATTTAGTCCTCCAGAGGTTATCTATAGAGTAAATGAATATATCTTCAAGAATATGCAAAAGCAGCTATGAGGGGTAAGTTGTATTTTATTCATCCAAATGTTCTTTTTTTTCTTATTTTTTAACCTAGGCCAACTTTATACATAATATTACAGTTTCTGACTAGATGTTACATTAGAGAAAACTTAAAGAAAAGGAAATGTCAGTGATTATGTAATATTATATACCTAAGTAAAGTGATACATTGGTAGTTGGTTAGATATGGAAAATTAATTTAATAAAAGAGGACTAAAATATCCACATTATATTTTATCAACAAGATTGTGTTTTTCTTTGTTTGAAATAGATCTGTGTGTTTTGTTGTTAAGAGTAGGTATATAGCTGGGTGCTGGCGGTTCACTCCTGTAATCCTAGCTACTCAGAAGGCTGAGATCTGAGGATGGTGGTTCAAAGTCAGCCTGGGCCGGAAAACCCATGAGACTTTTATCTATAATTAACCACTAGAAAACGAGAAGTGGAGCTGTAGCACAAAGTGGTAGAGTGGTAGCCTTGAGTGAAAGAGTCCAGGAGCAGTGTCCAAGCCCTTGATTCAAGCCCCATAGCAATAAAAAATAGTTATATATTTACATATTCATATACACATGTATGTTTCTGAAATTTTTATTGGTGATGTGGATGTAATTCATTGGCAGCAATTCTGCCTAGTATGTACAAGGCCTTAAAGTAAACATACAATTCTGAAACACAGCACATTATTTTTTGGGGAATGTAAAAATATTAAAATATTGTTGACAAACATTGTTCCCTGCATATGAAGTTAGTGTTTATACCTATATATCTACCTATAACTATTGTATGCAGTAATATGCCAATAATATGATATTTCATATTTACTTGTAATTGATACTTTCACACAAAAACTTCAATATTTTTAAGCTATCTCTTTATCACAAATATGACTTACCAAAGGATCAAAACTTGAAAAATAGAGATCTCCTAATTTTTATAGAAAATATATTTTATGGTAATTGAGGTAACTGTAATGAAAAGAAAGGTTATTTATCAGGCTTTCATTTTCATTTTTAAATTCAAATCATTCATTTAGCTGATAAAAACTTCAGTATAAATAAAATACCAACAGTATTCAACAGAAATTAATGCATTATTCAAGCCTGGACTAATACCTTGAGTGATGTAATTAATATTATATTCAATGATCAAGCATTTCTATTGCCTGAAATAATGAATTAAAAATGTGTTCGGTCATATATTCATCCTAATTAGCAATAAAGAAAATTTAGAAAGGCATTAATGGTGTGATAAAAGTATCTTTTTTGCTGCTAACTCATCCCTAGTGTTTTTACTCTCCTTTTTATCCTATAAAGACTGAGTATTTTGAGAGCATTAAGAAAAAGTATTTGCACTTCAGAGTATTGTTTGAATTTTATATGAAGTAATTCACCATGCATTTCCCATATTTTGGGGAGAGATTTATACAGCAAATATTTAGTGTTATAGTTGTCTTCTATAAAGGGTTAGCACACAGAGCTAGTCTTCATAAAACTCACAACAATTGAAAACACAAATATTCAAAAATAAGTTATAAAAGAACCTAAGATTAGACCTATATAGTTATACAAACTTTGACGAAGGCCAAGGACAATACAATGGGAAATGTATATTCTTCTAAAAAATCTGTATTAGAAGTGTAATCCATGTTTGATACATGAACTTGTTATGAGACATATCCCTCATCAAAAATATCTAAAAAAATTACAGTCCTAAATATAACATGTAAAATATAAAAATGTTAACAGACTAGACAAAATTAAAATGATATTGTTTTTGTCTTTGTCTTAAAGTTTAGATACAATATTAAATGTAGGACTTTATCAGAATTAATGCTTTTGTTCTGTGGAAAACAATACTCAAAGAATCAGAAGCCAAGCCAAAGATGGTGAGGAAACATTTGCAAAAGATATGCCTGATCAAGGTTTGTTTATCCAAAATACTCATATCAACTTCCAACAAAAATGATACAAATCTGGGCTGAGAAGGTGGCTCAGTGGTAGAGTGCTTGCCTTGCATGCATGAGGCCCTGGGTTCAATTCCTCAGCATTACATAAGCAAAAAAAAGCCGGAAGTGGTGCTATGGCTCAAGTGGTAGAGTGCTAGCCTTGAGGTGAAATGCTGAGGAACAGCGCCCAGGCCCAGAGTTCAGGCACCATGACTGACAAAAAAGAAAATGATACAAATCTGATTATAAATTTGATTGCAAAATGGGATAAGATATGAAAAGACATCTTACCAAAGAATATTTGTAGCATATGTAAAGATGCTCAATATGTCATCAGAGATTTAAAATGAAAACAATAATGATATACTGTTATGTGCCAATGGAATGGATAAAACCTCAAACATGACAATGATAGATGCTGGTGAGGGTCTGGAACAGCAGATTTCTTGTTCATTGCTGATGAAACACAGAATGATACATATATATTAGAATAGAGTTGGTTAGTTTCATTACAAATTACACACACTCTAACCATACAACTCAGCCTTTGTCCCCTTTGATTGTACAGAAACATCTGTAAACTTATATTTAGACAAAAACTTCAGAACTAGATTTTTTATAGCAGTTTCACACATACTTAATAAACTCTGTAAGTGCCTAGAATGCCCTTCAACTAGTCACTGGATAAAGAAATTGTGATATATCCAGAAATTCCACAACTGAGGAGAAACACAATATTAAGCCCAAAAACACAATATTAAGCGCCCCCCCAAATATATTAATCAATAAGAAAAGCCAATGTGAAAAGAATATTCAATTTCAACAATGTAGAAGAAGAAAAAGTATGTAAAGAATGAAAAAACTAGTGGTTCTTAGTGTTGGGGGGAAGGAGAAGTGAATAGCAGCAGCACAAATGATTCTATGCAATAAACTTCTTTACAGTACAATGGTTGACATAGGCCATTTAGATTTTCATAATCAACACAAACTTCAATAGCAAAGGTGATCCTTGAGTTAAACTGTTACTTATTTTAGGTGACTATAGGACAGCATGATCCACTATACCCCCCTGGTAGAAGAGGGGACTGTGAAAATGCACCCAGGGAGTAGATATGTGTGTCTACTCAAATTTTTTGCAAGCCTGAAACTGCTTTTAAAAAGATTAAAAACAACAACAACAACAAAGAAAGACCTGTTGTGTCCAAAAGCATTGTAATACAATACGGAAAAACAGTGACATACTTTAAAGTTTTTGTGAGTCAGTAGTTAATACGACAAAGAACAAAGAGTATCTGACCAGAGAACAGGACTGTAGGACACCATAATTTGCTGACTTACATATGAATCGTCACCCGGCTCCAGATTCTAAATGACAACTATTAACCAATGCCACCTATCTAGCCTATTTTGTAATCTTGGTACAACTAGATAATGAAAACTAAACATTGAAAGCAATCCCTTTTTCTGTTTGGTTTGATGGACTACTGAGTACATATAAAATTGATAACAAATTTTGAAAGAAGGTAAGTAAGATTCAAAAATGTAGTTGGCAATAAAGGTCTCCTCAGATGAATATTTCTATCCTTTATTGGTCAATCACTACAAAAACAACATATACTTAACTTTCTTAATATTGGGTGTGGAAAGACAAGGATTCAAGAAAGCACATTTTATGATAACAGAGATTATGCATTCCACAGAATTTTCCTGCAAGAGTACACTATCCCATTTTAAGGGCCTAGAATAGTAAATATGATTACTGGGGTAAGATAAATGTCAGTCAGTCCTCTAAGAAGGTTATAGAAGACAAAGGAGGGAAAGTAAAAACTACAGTAATTGTCTAATACAAATGTGTATATCATGCTGATTTTTGTGCATAATTATCACAGTTAATTTATAAAGAAGACATAACCTTCTTTTGCACGTAGGAATTATGTTGACTAAAGATCATACTTTCATAGGACATTGTGATGGACTAAGTAGTTCCTATTTTTACACAGATGATGTTCAATAAAAGTAAGATTAACAGTTTCCTAATAGTATGCCTCCTTCACAATAGTGCTTTTTATTTTAAATCCTTGATTTATTAGAGTTATTTTAATAGGAAAAAATGGGAAAGTATTAGGGAGTCTGTGAGGTCTCTCCAAACTTAGTACAGTAAGCCATCTGAAATTTCTGTGCCAACACATTCTCCTAATTTCAATATGGGCTGTTTTAAAGGCTTTTTCTGATGCCTGTATAAGGTTAATTGCTTGTATTATTTCACAGCACTTGTATAGTCCAGTGGTCTCTTTCCTAAGTAGTGAACTTCTGAATCAAGGATTGTTTGGATCCCCAATTTCTGCTCCAATCACTATCAAACCATATCTCCAGTGCCTGTTATTGTTTCCAAATATATCTTGAAAATAGAACAAATATGTGTGTGTGTTCATGTTTTGTGTGTGTGTATATATATATATATATATATATACATATATATATATATGTATATATATATATATATATTAGAATGCATGTAGTGTTGCTTCTCTACCTTTTTGTGCTAACCGAGATTCTTGCCCTGAAAAAAGGCTCCAAATCTACTCTTACCCATTTTCACCATGTGAAAATCCTCTTAGTTTGATATTTACAGCACTTAGATCAAAATAAAAAAGGTTTGTTTAACAATCCATTTGGGGAACTGCATTTCAAACTGAGAAGACTGAATGTAAGGTTAAAACATATCAAACCAAGATGATGGCAGAATATTCTTGCTTCCTGTAGACAATCCATATCCTTCCCATGACCTTGGCAGAGAATGGATATACAGCCGACTATTTGATTAAATCCTCCGTTCCCCCCACGAGTCAAGTCACAGACAAGCTGAGTACGGCACTGCGTGAGAGAAGAGCAATCCCACCCCATGTCAAGGCATTCTTCAGTTGGATCAATACAATCTTCAAAAGCACCCACAAAAACAAAAATAATATTCTTACCTCATCCAAGGACTCCAGCCACCTATGGCTAATAAAAGACAATATTCTCCTACCCACAGCAGTAGCTTAATGTTCCCTGCAGCTGTGGAAAATGTTATATTGGACAAATGGGCCACACTGTGGCTACCAGATTAAGTAGTATCTACAGAATCTCAGACTATCACACACAGTAAACTACAGGTGTTGAGCACAGAACAGAGAGTGACCACTGTATTGATTTCCACAATGTTGAAGGCAAAGGTAAGAAGAATGAGATTGTTGGGAAAAGAACAATATTAAGTCATGGTCAAAAAGGAACAGGGGATCTCTTAAGCAAAACTAAGGGCTTAAAATGAAACTCACACACAAAAATCCTCACAGTTCATTCTTTAACTGATTTTGACCACCACACTAAGAGCTGCCACTTGAATTCCAACTTACTCTTTTTTTAAATATTCTTTTTCATCTTAGGAAAGGTTTTATCCATCTCTTTCCATTCCAGACTGAGTGGAATACAATTTAAAATGGAATAAAATTGCATGCAAACGCTGTAGTATATTGTCTGTTACAATGAAAGTTAAAAAAAATTCCTTTTTAATCTATGACTTCTTTGAGAGGAAAGGTGAAGAATATTTTTCTTTTTAAAAATGTAAGTCACAATCATCAGTACAGCAAAGTCATAAATCATGGAAAAGTACTGTGGGGCAAAATAGGCCTTCTTCCTAAGGAAAATTAAGTTGTCATTTTAAATGTTTGGAAATTTTGATAGTACAAAAGTTGATAAGATATTCTTATGGCCACTTTGACAATTAAGTAACAGAATATTTATATATTGGTAAGTCACAAACTCATATTAATGTTATTTTTTAAACTGATAAGAAAATAAAGAGCCACATAAAATAAACAAAATAAGTCACATTTGAATCGCCCACTGCTATTTTACCTTAATATCA